CTCTCCTCGCCGTTACCGTATGACTGGAATTGATAACTGAGCATAATATGTGCTGCTTGAAAGATTGAAAGGTTACGGGCTGCACTAGTCATTTTTATGGGCCTCTTATAGACCCCTTATCGGAAATTAGGGCAGCTGAGGGGCTTCAAACCACTTTCCTTGGGTTCTTACGTCTGCAGAAAGATGCTTCTGCGGCGAATGCGTGGGCGTCTATTGCTCGGAGTTGCTTCTTAATTTGACAATCTCGGTAAGAAACCACATCCCACGTAATTCTGATGCTCAGCAGAAGAAGAACAGCTTAATGAATATGTCGACACTTCGACAGGCGAGATAGGAGCCTTTCCACTCATGACGTCCCGCTTGGTCAGGTTTTGGCGCTGGGTTACTGTCCCTGGGATCATCACCGTGACATATGTACCCAAACATTTCACGTTAAAGGCAACCATCAAGGAGACCCGCGTCGTACTAATATCTCCTTTTCACCAGAATGTCCACAAGGGCTCTGTAGACCGGGGACCGGGGAGAGGATTATGGGGAATACGAGATTTGATCAATTGTATCGGAAATGAAAACCTCTCAGTCTTCCAAGCTCCACGACCTTCTCATGCTTTCACATAAGTGCAGCCCCCTCCCCTCTCCAGATACGACCTCCCTCTCCCTAGCGACTCAGCTACGAACTCCATTAACATTCCTCAACGACGCTGTGCTCTGTTACTGTCCCCTTGACGACGAAGGGTGAATGCTTCTGCTGCTCTAATAGAAACAAAAATCCAGTGTTACCCTTTTAGCTCCCCGAAATTGGAGTTTTGTTTTGATCATAGCGCAAGTTTACTTGGATCGTCACGAGCCTTGCATGTGTGTTGTTGATTCTGCGGTCGGAGTCAAGAGATTTATTGAGAATCCCACAAAAATCCTCCTCCCCCGTCCCTTACCAACATGACCAGTTTTCTTCTTTCACATTTAATTATGGAGCCAATAAAGGCAAATGGCGCTGAAACCGCTATTTCGTGTGTCAACTTTTAGATTCAACTTCTTCTCGAACATGCTCCTACACTATCTCTCGAGGTCCGAATTATGAAGTTTCGAACAGCTTGCCATCTTTCTTCCCGAAACTCTACCGCACTCTACCTAAAAGATGCATACGATTTTCCTAGATCGTAGAAGTTAGGGACCACCTTGAAATGGGATAGCCAAGGTGCCAAGGCAAAGAATCCAAAAAAAGACAATGAGCTGTTTGCAGGTCCCTGTTTGAAGTGGGAGGTCTTCCAGCCGGTGGTGGGCTTGGGATGGGCATTTTGCAATTTCGCTGGTTCCACTTAATTAACAGCTTACACTTTGGCGAGAATCGTATACTCCCGTGAAGCTGCAAAATGATATAAGTGAATCACTCGGTTGCAGGAGTTTACCTGTCCCCAAGGCAACCTGAACTAGCTTCGGAAAGTACCATTTGGTGCCCCCACCAAGCCGGATTGCGCCGCTCTTCCGTCTTGGGTTCGAGTGTTTGATACCGTATTCGTCCGGAGTAAAATGTAGTAATGGGTTCAATATAGTAATGTGATTCACTAAGCGCTGTGGAGAAGTGTTTGTTCCAAAGCGATTCAATGAAGCATATACATTAGCACGTACCTTACCATGTACAGCGGTCATGACACGACCAAATGGGTGTTCATTCAAACGAAGTCCCTTCTGTTTGGATAATCCATTCTTGCAGATAAGCCAGGGAAGCTAAAATCTGTTCATAAATGGGGTGTTTATACAGGAAAAATTGAAAGAAGACATTAAATCCGTGTCTGGCAGTGCGTATTTAGTGGCAATAGCTGGACGCATTTGCAAGCTGATAGCTCTGTGTAGCTGTAGCTCTGGTCCGTAAGTTCGTAGGTTTAGGATACTGGCCGGGAGGTCCGCATAGCTGGTAATGCGCATCAACGGGCAAAGGTTCCCCAGCTAGTTGACTTAGCCGTAGAAGATCGCTTTTGCCGTGAAAGCAGCGTATCTCCTGACGCGAATATCGCACATCACGCACTGACCCCTCCGCCGCGTCATCACAACATGAGAGTTTCTTCAGATGTCTGGCTTATGAGCTGGCAGAGTAGCATTAGCGCTGTAGAAAACTCTCTTCGCTCCAAAGTGCGCGGGATGGAGCTGTAGGGTAGTGGTACCCAGGAGCAGTCTCTATATTCCGCTCGTGCTATCCTCAATGTTTAGCACTCGTGTCGATAGCAAGGTCCCGCAGCGGAAACGCATTCAGCGGGAGAGATCAGGCAGAAGTGAGGGGGTGCAGATAAGTGGCGCAGTTGACTAAAGTTAAAGGCAGTTGGCACGATAAATCCTCCAAGACGAGTAGGCCTGGCAGTACGGAATTCCGCGACCCTGAGCAGGCGCTGCATAATGCCTTTTCCAAGAAAGGTGCCTTATAAGGGCCCTAAGCCACAACATTACGACCCAAACGCCCGCCCGCCCACAAATGGACGACCGTTCCTGACGCTCTAATTGATTCATTTGCTAAGCAAATTATGAAGCGAAGGGATTGGTATGAAGCGGCCGTGATGCTGCATGGATATATGAGTACACATATGCAGCCGTACCTTCGGTAGCGGTGATTGGCAAGATGCCTACGGGAAACTCGTCCAAAATTGATTTTCAACACATTGAGAACGGAGGCTCTTTCTTCGCAGGATGACCGTTTCACTCCGTTCTTTCGCCATTTCCCCACTATATAGCGCCCTACTAGCATTTTAGGCCGAGCACCAAATCATCGTGCCAACTGCCTTCGAATGTGTGGGGGAGGGTGTCCGTTCGCAGGCGGATTATGTAGACGGCATTCCGGGTATCACTACCCTCCAGGCCCGTTCCCGTGCACTTCTGATCGGGGAATCTGGCACGCTATAGCACCTGCGGACCCGTATTCCACCCACACTGCAAAGGCTAGGATCCACGGGTTATTGTGCACTTCGCCTTTAAAGGAACTTTACTGAACATTCTAAACATTACGTAAACGAAATTGTTGTTATTCTGTGGAAAGCACGGAGAATACTGTAATCCACAAGAGGCGAAAGAATGCCGATGAAGTGAGATGTGCTAGGAGTAAAGAGGGGATAAATGTTCAACGATCCAAGGAAATAAGGTTCAAAAGGGTTCTGACTTAATAG